AAAGTGACGCATTGCAACCAAAAACAATATTATAAATAAGTCAACTTTTCAACGCGTTTAAACGAGAATACACAAACACACTTAAACGACTTACTCACCTTCCCTTATAGACTACTCGCAATGTTTTGCACTTTTTGGTTTGAATGCCAAAAGTGTCAATATTACGCACAATGTTGCACGAAAAACAACAGTTATTTATGAAAAACTGCACTACACTTTGAGATTACTCAAACGCGATCTACGCTGACGRAAATTTTCATATATTACTGTTAATGCCAAAACTGGGCCAACTTCGACTAGTTGGCTTGGACACCTTGCACTTTATTGCAAATTTGCGAAATTTCACAGAAACAACACTTTCGTTACAATGCGATGAGAAACACTCTCTCCGACACTTCGCTAATTATGTTGTTGTTGTTATAAATTTTATTTTTACTTTAATAAATCACACGGAAACTACATAAACTTCGAGCGCTTCCAAATCGGAACGTTGCTTTGGGTTTTGTCTGCCAATTTCAACTAAAACCGAAAACGTACCGTTTCGTTGTTTAAAAATCCAATCAAGAAAGCGACAAACAAAACTCAGTAAACACTGTRTGCGCTCAATCAAAATAGGCTCAAGTGCACAAGTGAATTGAGTAACCGGCAAAAAATACTCTCAAATTTTTTTTATACATTTTTTGAGAAATATAGACACCACGCCGAACATAACACAAGCGATCGCGCCGCGTTGTTATCAAAGATCGTAAAATTTGAGTGAGTTTACCGTCTGACTTACGCTCTCAGCGCTTTTATCAATTGAGCGCGCAGGCATAAGTAGCTGACTGTGAGTACTTTTGTTGGTGAGCGCTGACAAGCGATCGTGCCCAAATTATKCGCCTTCGAGTGCTCGATCTAATCACACTCAAAATCAAGCAGTACCACCAATTTGTACTCATTTTTGTGATTTCGTTTTGCAGCGCTCTTAACTGGAGCAATTTCGCGCCGCAAGTGTATAAATTATCGTGGCCGCGCATTGGCGGTGACTTAGCGCGTCGCATTGATCGGCAATGCATCGCCGCTGGCAGCATCTTCACGATAGAGCAGTTAGTGGGTGGGACAAGCCGACAGCTGGCCACCAACTAGTTGTCTACCTTTTTAACAATGGAAATSAAAAGAAACACTGAAAGCTAAGCAATTTTTTGTAGCAGCTAAGAAATATAAATCGCGCGTTCCGCTTAGGCACTGAATGTGGGTGAAGCTGTGCTGGCTGCGACAGCGCGCCGATAGTWTCATGAAAAGAAACGTTTATACATACATTTGTTTTTGTGCAACACCAAAAACCACTGCGCGCTCTAATTTGCGCGTGAGTAATAAATTCCGATTACAATTATTTACGCGTTGGGGAGACGCGCCGTGCAGTGCGCTTCTCAACGTTTGTCACTCATAAATAAATACTACTTACGGGCGCTGCGGCTGGCGCTGGCGCTTTGCAATAGAGCCGTTGACAACGTTGATTTGTTATATTACATTTGTTTGTATGTATATTGGTGCCTATTTTGATTTGTGCATCTGTGCGCTTGACTGCTGCGGATTTGTAGAGTGCGCGCGTAGGTTCATACATCTTGATCGCGAACACTGGCGATTAAAAAGTTTGAAATATACAACGCGATAAAAACTGAAATGTTTAAAGATTAAAAATAATTTATAAACTTCAAAAATACCTTCAACTTTATACTCAAAGCAGGGATGATATATTTATTTTTAAAGCAAAAACAAAAAGGATCCGTTCTACTAAGTATAAAATATAATTAATTGTAATTAAAACTAAATGGTATAAGGTTCCSGGGTTGAGTAGTCCCATACTCTCGTAGGTTCCATTAGTTGTGGATGGTTCGTCTAAGAACTCTTAGGTTGATRGAAACGCAACTTTGGACTGCTCCACAGCTATCATGGTAGCAACGCTCWTTGAACAAGTTGGCTGCTCAGGCTGAATGATCCCCACAGCAGCCCTCTTCTTATCTTGGCGATATTTGCCCTCATCGGCATTTTTATTTTATAGTATCACTATTATCGCAATGATTCCGGTTCATGCAATATTTCAGTTTGCGGATTTYACTTTAAGACTGACGTTAATACTAACATTCAGCCTCAAACTTGCATCTTCTTAACTGCTGTTATTTTTAAACCTGTCATATTAGGTTGTCAACAAAGTCTTGCGGTATTTTTATTGAATTTTCAATTGTTCATAAAATTAGTTTGATGACTCATGCCCAGCTCTTGACCRATGCTAYGGCTGCTACTATGCCGGTCTCCTAAGACCAATTCAGCGATTTTATCGCAATTTTCGACGACAGGCCTTCCGGAGCGTGGCGCATCTTCGACCACTTYTACACCAGARCGAAAACATTTCCTCAGATATGTAGTTTTTATGCAGTATAGCCATTCAGATGCTTTGAGGGCATCAGAGTAGTGGTCTATGCTACCAGCCAGTGCCGGTCCTAGCCGGCAGCCGATTGTGGATAAGATTGCCTCTTCCTATCAAGAGCATTTAGTGTAATGTGCCCGCTTATCGCTTTTCATAGGGCTTTTGATTTTGTGCYAGGGCCTGTTTATGCGGTGCTTCTCTCTGTGTCCCTTGAGGGCATTCTAATTGACGGAGATCAAACATTACACGACCATAGATTGTTGTTGTACCAATCTAGGAAAGAATTGTTTGTCGATTCGCTTTGGGCTTGAGTTTGGTCTGTGTTCGACCTCGAGATGACTTTAATTCTCAATTGCCTACGCAGTCAAACCTGTTGGTCAGAGTTATTCCGCTTTGGTTTTCGAGACTGTGGTGGTTGTTGGTGTTAATGTTGGTTATAAGATAGACGAAATTATTTATGACTTCGAAGTTATGACTATTAACAGTGACGTGAGTGCCATTAGACAGGAAATATTTTGTCTTGCCCTCGTTCACTATCGGACCCATTTGCTTCCCTTTTTCATCTAGTCTGGAGAAAGCAGAACTAACGGCGCGGTTGTTGAGTCCAAAGATATCCATACCATCGACGTACGAAAACATCTGTATATTCTTCTGGAAGTTTGTATCTTCTCGATTTGCTGGTAGAGCTGCAACTCCAATAACTTTTCATTAGCCGTGTTTTTAACAGAGCGGATCCAAAGAAGATATTTGGACTAAGAGCGCAAATCGTAAGATGCTTGAATCATACGTAAAATAATCGTTTCTGGTCACTTGCAAGTGAATGTCACTGAGAGAATTGAACTTCTACACAGGAATCCATCCTCCAAATACTCCTAGTATTTGATCTAAAAATCCTAAATTGAATGGTGACTTGGTTAATAAGCAATTACGATTGACGATTTATTATACAGTGCTAATATTTTCCTCGCAACTGTAAGTGCATAGTGATCTATGGATGTGTGCGGGGTACAGCATTTCATTGAATGCACGTTGTTATATAATTACGCGAACATTTGTTTTACCTTTTTCGGTAAGCGATTAATACGTCTGCTGTTGTTGCGCGCTTATAAATCAACAATTCAATTTAATCTTGTCTGCTTTATGAAGTTGTAACCTTTTTCCATTTATGGATAATTGCAYTTGCTGGCGCTTATTTATAGGAGTTCACATTTTTATGCGAATAGGCAACGTGAACAATTCGAAATAATTTTATATGTATACTAACACGTACGTACGTATTTATTCGTGTTTAGGCTTTCKTTAAATATTAACAGGTTTTTTTTCGAAAGAAAAACTTTTAAACTTATTATTACATACCATAGTTTCTTTGATTTTTTATTTGAAATAATTGTTTATTTTCAATGATGGAAAATAAATATGAAATATTTGTCGGATAGCCTGTAATTTATGTAATTTATATGCCTTAACGTAATCTTCCCGTATATTTTATTCTTTCAATACCAACTGTTCRATTTCGTTAAAATGTAATACCAACGCTGTATTAAAAAATCGCGACCATGTTGTTGTTGGCATATAGACCGGCTCATGTCGTTGATTTTTGTTTCCACTTTTGTAATACACCACTTTCAGAATTCTTTGATCTGAACCAGAGCTAAGGGCAATAGACACAATATCCTAAGTCAAACCATATTAAATGGACCCTGGAAATGCCGCTAAATCGCCGATTTTGAAAATTAACACTTTATTAGATGAGAGATCTTATGATGATAGTACTATCTTTACTCTACAGTTCCATTGATGTTCTTAAAATGTTAAAGTAAAGCAACGAATAAGAGAACAAAAGCATCGGCGGCTCTGTGTATCTGTGCAAGCGATAACTTGAGTAAAAATTAGAAAAAATTTTTAATGAAAATTAGTAAACGTGTTTCTTGACAAAAAATGAGGACGAGTTCGTTGATGGGCATAATCGGCCTATTGCCATGTCCACAAACCAACATCACACGAAAATCTATAAAAAGCTATAACTAAGCACTAAATTAAGACATAAAACTGTAATTTGCCAAAGCGATCGCAGTAGCAAKAATCACATGGCACCGACCACATTTGGGTCAAAATCCATATCTCAATACCTGCTCCACCGATCTCAATTAAATGTAGTATAAATTAATACATAAATTAATTTACATTATCTTGGCATCCTAAGGTCTAGTGCGAAAAAGAGCGAAATCGGATTAAAACCCTTCCTACTCTTTAGTTAAACAATTTTTAATTCCATTTGACTCTTTCAGTTTCCAGAATGCAAAGTCTTGCGAACTTTTTAACGAAAATATCGATCAATCTGTAAGATATACTATAGAAGTTCGAACAGAATTCTTTGCTAAAAATAGTGTGCTTGTATATCGAAAATGGATTGAATTGGAGAAATAATTTTTGAGCCCACATATACATACCCTATTGAAATATTTTCCATCCAACATCCGGTTGACTTTATACCGCATATATCGGCGAAAATGTGAGTTATTTTAATTAACGTTTCATCCTTGTGCTTAACATGGATAAAATGGGGCGAAAACATGCGCTAGACCACAAKSCTTATGTACTTGAAGGTATTCCCTTTGCCTTGATCTCGGCAAATTGCAAGAGTACGAATTGTTCGGTTACACCTGGACTTGTTTATATCAAATTTATGACTTTAAAAGAACACCATGTTCATGAACTGCACATCATCCGATTATTAGACGGAATGTTTTTATATTCCATGATAGAAATCCATCTTTCAAGTATTAAAATTCACAGAAATCTTTCTGCTCAGGATATAAAAAAATTATCAATTTTTCTCTGAAACCGCATCATGCAATTGGGATAAGTTTTTCTTCATTACTTTACAAATGAATAAATCCTCTCTTTAAAGTCATTGTATTTTGATGGAAATTTATGGTGAATATGCTTTAGTGG